GCCCCGGAGTGTCTCGGGCGGAGCGGCAGCTCCGCGCATGCGGAAGTCAGAGGAGGGCGGGCTGAGGCAACAGCAGCCTACCTTCGGGGGGGGGAGGCCCTCGTCGCCACGGCGGGAGGCAGCTCGGGAAACTCGAGCGTTTGGACCCCGGGAGGGCTCCAGGGACCGACTTTGACCTGCCGTGGTCTCCCCCCCCCTCCCCCTATCCCCTTCTGCGCGTGGCCAGCCTGCTCCGAGAGGAATCGCTGGGGCTGGAGTGCGCGGCGTACCACCAGTCGCTATAGGGGTAGGCGGCCAGGACCTCGCCGAGCACCACGCCCGGCTCACCGCCGGTGCGGGAGCTGGGCCGTGGCGCCTACGGCGGGGTGCGGAGCGAGCTGCCCAACAGCGCGTTCTGCGACAGGCAGCTGCGAGATCGCGAGGACGAGGGGCGATGGCTGAGATTGGCGCCCGCTCATCCACTCCTAATCCCCCCTCGCCAGAAGCCTCGGTAGGCGCCAGACTCCTACGTATGCTGCACATGCTGTATGCGCAGCATGCGCCATTGCGCACGCGCTCCCGGGGTAATCTATCGTGTCCAGAAAGACGCAAACTATTTCAGCGCATGCAGTCTGGAATGAGATTGGCGACTGGTGCTTGACCTGGAGACGACTGGTGTGCCGATTTGCGCACTGGGTTGCTTATGATTCCTCCTGGAAGTGGACGCTGCGAGCTGCAGTATGGAATGCCAGCCGGGACAAGCGAGCGAACGGCCGCCCAACTGGCCACGCAAGTAGTGATCTGGCGACATTCGCCGACCCTTGCAAAGTCTGCGTCTGGATGCTAAGCCAGTGGGTAAACATGATATGATATTGAAGCCGGATTCTTGCAGGTGCCGTGCTGAGCGCTATGTAATTACGTTGCGCGTGCATCCCCTTCGACGGGGCAGCTTTGCTGAGGTGGCGTCCGTCCGTCCGCGCACAGCCATGGACGCATGGCGCATTTTGGCCCCGAATATCCGCCACGCTGCCCGGACAGGCCTGCACTGCTCGGCAACGACTGTCGGCAATAGATGGTCAAGGGTTTGGGCCCCCCCCCCCCCAAATGCTAAGGCCGTCGCCCCCCCCCCCCCCCCGCGCTATGCCCCCCCTCCCCCCCCTGTGGGCGTGGGCGTGGCGTGGTGGCTCCCCCCCCCCTGTGGATGTGTGGGTGTGGTGTGTTGCTGTGGGTGTGTGCGGGGTGACGCCATGGTCCTCCTCCCCCCCTCCCTTCCCCCCTGTGGGTGCGGTGTGGGTGCGGCGTGTGGCTGGGACTGGCGTCATGTTGACAGCTCGGTTGCTCGACGTCGTCGCCGCCGCCGCTGGTGGTGCCGTCGACGTCGTCGTCGTTGTCGTCGTCGTCGTTGTCGTCGTCGTCGTCGTCGTCGTCGTCGTCGTCGTCGTCGTCGTCGTCGTCGTCGTCGTTATTGTCGGTGTCGTCGTCGTCGTCGTCGTCGTCGTCGTCGTCGTCGTCGTCGTCGTCGTCGTCCTCGTCGTCGTCGTCGTCCTCGTCGTCGTCATTGCCGTGATCGTCGTCGGCGTCGCCGTCGTCGTCGTCGTCGTCGTCGTCGTCGTCGTCGTCGTCGTCGTCGTTGTCCTCCTCCTCCTCCTCCTCCTTCTCCTCCTCCTCCCTCCCCCCATCCCATCTGGGGGGGGCCCCGAGGACCCTGGGACCCATCCCATCTGGTGGGGGGGGGGGGCGAGGACCCGGAGCCCACGATCATAGATGCCGTGAGGAGCCACGAAGCAGCGACGGAAAAGCTGAGAGCTTGCGCGTGATGTGCACCGCCCAGCTTGCCCCGCATGACGGGTCAGGGACACCTGCCGATTCGGCAATGCGCATGACGCTCGCCAAGACTGGAAGCCACGGTAGTTTCTCCACAAGACCAACCTCCCATTCTGAGAACACAAATGCCTTGGAGGAGGGGGCATGGGGGGGTCGGAGGTGGGAAACTGTTTGGCCGTCTCCCCTGTGGTGTGAGGTTGGAAGAAGTAGCCGGGTAGGACGGAAGGAGGGGAGCGAGGGAGGGGCTTGGGGAGGAGGAGAAGGAACGCGAGCAGGAGGGGAAGGGAGGCAAAGGAGGGGAAGGGAGGCAAAGGAGGGGATGGGAGGCAAAGGAGGGGAAGGAAGGAGAGACGCGGCAGGGAGGGAGGAAGGCAAAACCGAGCGTCTTTGGCAGCTTGTCGGATCTCACTGATACGAAAGTGGGCGGCTTGGTACCTTTGAAGGGCCACCGGGATCTGTGTAGCCTCATGCCTCCCTTCTCTGATATGCAAGCAAAGGACACCCAACCCTCCAGGAGGGGGCCTCGGCTGGGGGGGCCCAAACCACTAGGGATGGGGGGGTCTTTTTTTCTGCCGGTGTATCAGGCCACAAACCGCCCAGATGGAATACCCCTGGTGCGAAGACGGGTAAGCCCACGTCTTCGCTGTGTGTTATTGGGGCTGGGGGTTCTCGTGTTCTCGATGACCCTCGTCCTCAGGCCATCGCGATCGCGGGGATGCTGGGGCCCCTGGCGAACGTCGCGTTCGCCATCGCCCTCGTCCAGGCGCGGCGCGCCGCTCGTGCTGCCTGGACCACGGGGGGCCCTCACCGCCTGGGAGGGAGCTGCGCGGAGGGGAGGAGAGGAGAGGAGAGGAGAGGAGCGGGGGGGGGGGCGGAGTGAGGAGAGCAGGGGGAGGGAAGGAGGGAGAAGATAAGGGGGGGGGTGCAGGGGCGGAGGGGAGGGAGGGGAGAGAGAGGAGGGGAGGGAGGAGGCGGAGGGGGGGGAGGGCGAGGGAGGAGAGGAGGAATGGGGGAGGGGGAGGCGAGGGGAGGCGAGGACAGGGAGGAGGGGCGACGAGGGGGGGCAGAAGGGCAGGTAGCTGAGCACGATCTTGGCGCGGGCGGCTCCCACAGCGGATGCGGGCGGTGCAGGCTGGTGTTTTGTCGAGACTCCAGGCACGGGAGCGATACGAATGGTGAGGATGTCGGGAGCAAGATTGCGACACCCGCCCCACAGTACATGCGCCCGCGTCCTCGAAAGATTTCGCATGCCAAGTTTCTCAGGCCCCCCCCACCCTCAGGATGAGCGTCTCAGGATCAGTGTCAGCACGTTCTGCCTGACCGGTTGGGGCAGGTTTGGGTGTCGATTCCGACCCTACTCGTCAGGCGTTCCGACCGCCTGTTCCGTTCATCTGCCGCTGCTCCCAGTAAAAACGCAGGGCGCCCCCGCGGCGCTCCAGCGGCCCGCTCCCTGCGGACTCGGGCGATGCTGACGAGAGACGCGGGCGGCCGCAGCGCGTGCGCGTGCTTTTTCTTGTACACCTTAGGCGATGCTTAAGGAAACTTAAGTTTTCGGCCAGAGTCTCGATTGTTCTTAACTTTCCAAGTAATTCCCCAGATTTTGATAGAAGTTTTTTTGTTTTTGTTTTTTTTAATTCAAGTTCTGAGATTATGAATTTCTGAACCCATAATTTCTTAAGCATTTCGCAGGGTGCAGTGCGTCGTGTGTTTGTGTCGTGTTTGGGAGCAGGCGGGCCGACGCAGGGCGCTCCTGCGTGCTTTTGCGGCCCGCCCCCGCGGGCTCGGGAGGGATCGGCGCGAGGCGCGGTCGGCCGTGGCGTTCGCGCGTGCTGTGCTGTTTCCGCGTCGTGCTTTCGGGTAGCTCAAGAGGGGAAAAAACACACAGACACAATTAATCGGCGATTCCCCAGAAAAAAAAGGAAAATATGGGAAGTGGGGGGGAAGACGAAAACCCAGAAAATATGGGAAACTATGGGGAATAATTTTATTTGTGTGTATTTATTTGTGTGTCCTGGGGCCCCTTGAGTTGTGCTGTTTCCGCGTCGTGCTTTCGGGTAGCGTGCTGACGCAGAGGGCGCTCCCGCGGCGCTCCGGCGGCCCGCTCTCGCACGGACTCGGGCGAGACTGGCGAGAGACGCGGGCGACCGTGGTGTTTGCGCGCGTGTTTTTTTTTCTGTCGGCGCAATGGATTTGAAGTGCTGTTTTCGAGCAGCGTGCCGACGCGGAACGCTTCTGCGGCGTTCCAGCGGCCCGCCTCGGGCGAAACTGACGAGAGACGCGGGCGACCGTGGTGTCAGCACGCGTTGGTTTTTGTTTCTGTACCGTATTCGTTTATGTCGTGTTTTCGAGCGCCGTGCCGACGCAGGGCGCTCCTGACGCGAAAACGCTACGTCCATTCGCTACGCGAAATACACTGCGTGAGCACACTACGCAAATTCACTCCGCGAGTGCACTACGCAACTACACGCACATACACTGCGCAAGCACACTTCGCAAATGAGCTACGCCAGTACGCCTCACGCTAATCTACTAGGCAAACAGACTGCGCAAATACACTCACGAAGACTTTGTCACCCTTCGGCTCAAGTCTCTGGTGTACGGGCCGTGCTGCAGAAGCTTCACGTTTTAGGCTGCATCTCAGCTCAACTCAGCCTGGCTGGGGCCAAGGCCGCGAGGCCCAACCTCGACCCAGCACTGCCTGGCTCGGCCAGGACCCGGATGAGCGTATACGGAATTTTGCGTCGCCGCTTTCCGCTTCGAGCAGTTCAGCTTCAGATCCTACTAGCTTGCTATAGGGGCACAACCAGACACAACCATGACAACTCGGAGATCCGCGCGGAAGTTCTCGAGTCGGCGCTGGATCCCCCTCCCTGGCGCGAGGAGCGCGCAGGGGCGGCGCCGGAGGCGCCGCCAAGGGGGCCCGAGTGCCGATTCGAGGAATCCGCGCGGACCTCCGAGTTTTCATGTTTATGTCATTGTTTTTCCCCCTGTGCCAGACCCCACTCAGACCCTGGCGGTGAGAAAAGCACGACGCGTGTTCTAGTCCCATGTCGGGCCCCAGGAGCCCTCGCGGATCGGTCCGGCTCGAGAAGGTGGGGCAGCAAGAGGAGCTCGAGAGGGTTGGTCGTGGCTTACGGTGAGGAACTTTGGGATAGCGTGTCGCGACGCCAGTTCTGCCCCACCACGCTTCGGCGCGGCATTCGAAGAAGAAACATTGCCATAAGCATACACTTTTTGCTCTCCGCGCGGATTTCTTGGATACGCGCTGGTCCCCACCTGGCGGCGCCTCCGGCGCCGCCCCTGGCGCGCTCCGCGCGCCAGGGAGGGGGGTCAGCGCAGATCCAAGAAATCCGCGCGGAGTGCCAAAAGTTGAAGTTTATTGTGTTTTTTTCTTCTTCTAGACACCCGATCCGCTTCCCAGCCCACCAGCGCCGACGTCCCGCGCCTTTCCCTCGACGAGCTATCCGCTACCAAGGCACAGCGTGTCGCTCGGCCGCCGGGGCGACACGCTATGCACAAGCTCCCGACCGCATGCTCGCGGCGGTGCGGCTTTTTCTCGACGTCAGACCTCGTGCCCCCTGCTGTGCCCTCCGGGCCGCCCGCAGGGTCTCGCGGGGGCATCCTCTCGCGTCGCGCGCCGCGGCCCACGCTCGAGAGCTGCCCCTCCCCAGGGAGGGGCTGGCGCGAGGGCCTCGCGCGCCGCCGCTGGCCCACCACGCTGCGGCGCGACACGCTATCCATCTCCCGGCCCCCGAGCGTCCAGGCCCCGAACGTCTCCCGACCTCCCGCCCCGCGGAGCGGAGCGACACGCCATCCGCTTGCAGGGCATAGCGTGTCGCCGGGGCCGCCGCCGCGGCACGCCATGCACAGGCCCTCGTCCCTAGGGAGGGGGAGGAAGACGCACCAACGACACGCTGCCGTCGGGGGCCCGTCCAGCGGCCTAACTGCGGCATGCCCTGTCGCTCTTGTCCGCAGGCCCTGGGGGCTGCTCCTGCAGCAGCAGGGCCTGCACTGCCCACGGCGGCGTGCCGCCCTGCAGACCTCCGGCCGCTCCAATTTTTTGTTGGATGCGTCCGCTGCCTGTTTTGGGGGGCAGGATTTGTCCGCCCCAGCCGCGTGGTGTACAGTTTCGGTGTCTTCTCCCCCCCTCCTCCCCCCCCCAAAAAAAATAATAATAATAAAAAGAAGCAAACATTTTGTTGGATGCGTGGGCCCTGGAGGTCTGGACCACTTCCCAGGGGCTTGTTTTTCGTCCTCCACCGCTTGCTCACGCTCCCTCGCCGGGCGGCAAAATAGCTGCCAGAGTGCCGCCGCTTCCCCCTCCTGTCGGGGCGCCGGATCTCTGGGTCGATGCTGCTTCTGCGCCCCCCCCACCAAACCACCCCAACCCAACCCGAAGGCCTCAAATTGACCTCCATTTCCAGTGGGGGGGGGGGTCGGGGAACATCGAGAAAACACACATGGAACCCGTACCCCCCCCAACCCGAAATTCGGGTCTTCGGGTTGGGTTGGGGTGGTCTGGTAGGTAGTCATTCTGCGCCCCCCGCCAGGGCGTCCGCGGGCGGCCCCCGGGCCCGACGGGGCCGGGCCTGTCTGGCGCGGGCCCGTCCTGGGCGCGGAGGAGGAGGAGGAGGAGGAGGAGGAGGAGGAGGAGGAGGAGGAGGAGGAGGAGGAGGAGGAGGAGGAGGATGGCGAGGATAAGGATGAGGATTAGGAAAATGATGACTATGAGGACGAGGATGAGGATGAGGATGAGCATGCTGATGAGGATGATGAGGATGCTGATGGTGCTGATGATGTTGCTGCTGATGATGGAGATGATGGTGATGAGGCTGATGATGCTACTGATGATGATGGTGATGTTGATGCTGGTGCTGCTGATGAGGATGATGATGGCGATGCTGATGATGATGCTGATGATGATGCTGGTGATGATGATGCTGAGGATGATGAGGATGATGATGCTGATGATGCTGATGTTGATGATGCTACTGATGATGATAATGATGATGATGCTGCTGCTGATGATGATGATACTGCTGCTGCTGCTGATGATGATGATGATGATGGTGATGGTGGTGGTGATGGTGGTGGTCGGTGGTGGTGGTGGTGATGATGATGATGCTAATTATCCTTGAACGGTTTGGGCTTGAGCTTGTTGACTTCGGGGATGTGTACCTGTTTACAAACCACCTGCTAAACGATGCAGGGGAGTTAAATATCGGAATGGTTTCCCTCACTTGCCCCTTCTCTCCCCTCCATAGCCTGTCTTCGGCTTCCGCCTCTCTCCCTGGGAGTAGCGAGCGTGCGCATTCAACGTTCATCTCCGGCCCTGATGTTTCGAGGCTTTCGTCGGATCATGTCCCTGCCATGTGAAGAAATTGTGGCTCTGATGTTGTTGTTGGTGTTGTTGTTGTTGTTGTTGTTGTAGATGTTGTTGTTGTTGTTGTTGTTGTTGTTGTTGTTGTTGTTGTTGTCGAATATTCCTTTCTGTTAGATCTCCGGAAACGGTTCCGGGCGCTCTCGCCTCGACGTTGGCTACATTTTCTCTGAAAGCGAGGCTCCGGCTCGAGCGTTAGCTTGAGTGTAAAAGTGGCAACGGCTCCCGCTCGATACTTCCACACAATTTACCCCGAGACACACTGGCCAGAAAGGCCCCCGAACTCAGCATCGGCGCCCTCGCTCGAGACTAGCTCGCAATTCAGTCAAGTTGGCGGGGGCCGAGCCACGACGACAAGGGCTCTTGCTCAATATTTCCTCACG